CAATCAACCGAATCCTTTCTTCGCCAAACCTAACAAGGTCCTTGGTTCCTCAAGTGCTTCGGTCAGGACCGCTGTATCTTATCCTGTTGGTCTTCAAGGCATCCTTTATTATTTTCCTTGAATTTGGGAATCGACTGGCAGAAGACCTAAAAAATTCTGAAACTTCTTATGATTTATTTATCGGGTTGTCTCTAATATTTGACCAAATCTATCTCAAACATCCCCCAAATATATTTTAATTTTTCTATTACTTCAAATTATTTATCGTTGAAGAGTGTTGTGAGACATATATAGTAAGTGAAGGAATCTAAAGTAGTGGTTAGTATTGATATCTTGAAAAGTTTCGAATTCAAGTTTTCAACGGAAATAGATATGTCAAAGTCCCCTGAATCCAAATAACCAATCCTGACAAAAAAGGTCTATGAGACGGTATTTTCATGAAACAAGCCATTCTAAATCTGTTGGCAAATTTTTATGGTACATATTTAGCCAAAATTTGGTTTTTGTGCATGGCTCGAAAGATTAATTGAATTTATTTTATGCGTAGAAAATTGATTAATCAATAAAATTAGAAATTAATTAATTTGTATTTATTTATTTTGGTTTAAAAGGCGAAAAACTTGTGTGGTTATTATCGCACATTTTCTTGTATTTTCCCTCAACTTGATTTAGTTTTATATATTATTGTGAAGTCCCATCTCTTTTAAAAATTTGGTTACTTTGTTCAGGTAATAGTCCTCACTTAGAGCCTTGGCTAGGTATGCCTAAGTTGTCCATTTCAAATTAAATTAATCAATGTTTCGTGGTCTTAGTTTAAAAAGGTTTTAACATTTACTATAACTGCATTTACTATAATTTTGAGAAATATAGCTCCATAGTTACAATGCATATATCTACTTAAATTTACTGTAGTATGAATATTTTTTTACTTACACTAATAATTTTGAACAATATCTTGAAGCAGTAACTTTACATTTGCATTCGTTGATGACTTCATTAACTACCTTTTATTAATAACATTTTCAATATTGAAATTTTATGGTTAGAACTTTCTCTCACTGCTAGTTTCTTTATTTTTCAATTGATGATAATAAAATTCATTTGGGACATAGATAACTTTGTTGTGAGTGATTTCTGAGTGAAAATTCAATTTGTCCAAAATTGTTAGAAACTTTTTAAACCAAGGCAAAAAGTTCATACGCGCAGACTTTTCATTCTGATAAAAAGTTTCTGTAATTTATAGTATGTATAAAAATTAGTAGTGATAATTGACATCATTATTTTAATACGGACAATATAATATAAAAATAAATTTATGAATGGGATTGTGTTTTTTTTTTCGTATGGTATATTTATAAATGTTAAATGTATATGTTAAAACCAATTGGATATATTAAATATTTTTATTTTTATTTAGTATTAGTATTTATATTATCCAGTCAAATCTCTAGAGAGATGAACTCTCAATTCTCTGATGCTTCAAATTTGCGGCGGAAAATGTGTAATATTTTCACGTAAAAATGGAATGGTGGGTATGAATGATTCATAAAATCTCATAATATGTTGCTCCATATAATAATGATCTTTCACTATAAACTAGTATTTCAATGAATGAAGAGATGATTGGATGGGGTGTTCAGTCAAAAAAAGTCTAGTCTTGAGAGAACCTTTCGTTAGACAAACCTTGCTGAAGGCCTGAACTTTGAGCCGAAACGTCGGCAAAAATAAAAACATTTTTTTTTTACAATTTTACATTCAATTATTTACTACAGTCAGCCACCAATCCACAATTATAATATTTCAATAATAGGAACATAGGGCGTGGTAAAATACCTATGTCTATTGTTTAGCTTAGCCATCTAATCGACTTTTCCTATTTTCTTAATTCATATTAGTTTACACATTTCATTCATTCGTGTAGATTAATTTTTATCGATTTTTTATTTTGTTTGAAATTATATGTTTTTCTTGGCTTCTAGGACCCATTGGAACGAACACGAGGACATGTGTAAAATAGTTTTCGATGTACTATCACCGAAAAAAAAAATTGGTTGAAATCAGTTTCCCATCGACTGTAGACTCCCCTTATCAGTATTTTTTATCGTTATCACCCAAATTAAATGATAATACTGTAATTTAAACATAAATTATTTTAAAATGAATATTTCTTATTTTTTAAGTATATCGATCAAATATAAGCCATCAGTATCATTCAAACAAGCTATTACCAACTTTAATGAGCAACTTAGTTTGTATGTGATTGTAAGGGTTGTGGTATGCGGTTCCCAGGAGGATAGACCTGAGAGAAGTGGGTTCGATTCCCAACTGACTTGTGAGATTTATATCGCGGTGGCCCTAACGTTTAAACCCTGGCATTTCCTATGTGGCTAGAAAAGGGTGGATTAACATGGCCACCTGTGAGACTCAACCTCCAATTCTGCCATTTGATTAGGATTCTATATTTCATAAATTCTATATTATCAAAAAGTATTTCTTAACATATCTTTTCCAGGTATATTATTAAACTGACTAAATATTTTCTAAATGATAATTCACTATTATTAAAAATATTTATGAGTATTTAAAAGACAAATTTTTAATTTTTATTAATCGCATTGATCCTTTTTTTTGTCAGCTAATATCAACTAATAAATCTTGGTTAGTAAAAATGTTTTTTGCTTTTTTATTTATTTAATATTATACCCTTGTAATATAATTTACAAATTGTACGTTTTATGATCAATTTTATATTTAATATTTTGAAAGGTTATTACATTTCTTACGAAAAAAAAAATTGTCAAAACAAAAAAGTTACCACTCTTTGAGATTTAAATGTGCCTATTTACTTTGTTCTGCCTATTTACGTGCCTGTTTACTTTTGATTTAGTTCATAAAAAAAATCGTACTACGATAATTTCTCCAAACATCCTATTTATACATTTTATATATTGAGATGTAGGGTATTGGAGAATTGCGCAACAATTGTGATCAGTACACGTGGACCTACCTTTCTATTTTCTCTCATACACTTTGATGCCATACAATTCTATAACTTTTCCATAATGACCTTCCCTGAAATATAATAGCCGGCTTGTGTGATAAGTCTTCAAAAGGCAGCAACATGGAATAATTTATTTATGAGAAATAAGAGGTTTTTTTTGTTTCTTTTCAAACACAAGTTTCGACTGTTTTAAGTTCTATTAAGTTTTGGCTTTTAAAGAAACCCAATGGGTCAATCCATTTGAAATCACCCGGATCATATTACTCAATATTTTATATATATATATATATATATATATATATATATATATATATATATATATATATATATATATATTTAAAGTTAACTATTACGGTATTTTCTTTTTATTAGTCAACGATGGGATCCTCTTCAAAGCTAGAATTTAAAAAATAGAGCTTCGATCAGGCCAGGGACACACCGAGAGTCTCAGCACCGTCCACTAGCTCATATAACCTACCATTTTATTAAGCTATATATATTAAGCTAACATCTCTTAAATATTTTTTAAAACTTTGAGGAGGATCACATCGTTGACCAATAAAAAGAAAATACCGGGATCGAAACGTCAATAAACAGAAGAAATGGACATTCAATAGTTTATTGAATTATTAATAAGTGACCTTATTCCCAATTAAATAGTTAAGTTTAAATTTAATACTCAAAGGTCGATTAAGGAAAAGTTGTAAATATATATATATATATATATATATATATATATATATATATATATATATATATAACAGTTATTCCTAATTTAATTATGAGTTCAATTCCTTATTTAAAACGATTTTTTCTTTTCAGACATTTTATATATACTTTTCAACTACAACTGTTTTTGATAAAAATGTCTGTAACTCTAGCTATTTCTTAGATATCAAGCACAAGTGAAAGTTAAAACAATGATTGTGTTATTTCAGACATTTTTAGTCCATTAATAAATTTCCTAAATCTACCTTTTTTTAAATTCTTTATTGAGAAATTACATTCAAGGACACTATAACTAGTGTGATACAGCAGTTCATTCACTTTCTGTGTACAAAAAATAAAAAATGAATTAAATAGAAAAATAATAATAATAAAAGTAAATGCATATAAACAAAAGTAACATAAAATAATCTAAACAAATAATCTATGTGTACACTCATACAAAATGTTTCTTTCACTATTATGTTTATATTACCGTTATCGCATTTGTACTTTTTCATCTCTTTTCAGTTCTTAAATTTCTCTGATATATTCTCTATTTACATACCATTGTCTATGTCATTTTTTATCATTATTTTATTTTGGCCAGATGTAGTATTTTAATTATGTTCTATTTTGTTAATTCTAAAGGGACTTTGTCCCAGAATAAAGTTATTTTCTATTTATATTTCTTTTATATCATTGTTTTGACGTAATATAGTATTTTTTAAATATTTTTAGCTCTGATAATTGACTGACTATTCTTACTAGCTTACATCCTTATAATTTAACAGTCAACTATATCTCCATTTCTAAACTTTTATTAAAACTTTTAATTATACAATTATAATTGTAAAATTATAATTATGAACTGATTCCCAAGTGGAGGGGGATTGAATTCTTCCTTACTGACTATTTCTTATTTGCAGGTGATATTAAATAATTGATAACATATCCATAATTTGCCAATTCATTTATAATAGGAACAACTTAAACCGAAAATAATTAACAAAATAATCAAATGTCGTTTTCTGTCTATCTCACAACTCTCGTTCTCTATAACCTCCCTTAAAAAAAAAATCCGAAAATCTGTTTGTTTTTTTCAAATTCTATCTTTTAATCATTTTGTAAACTGTGATATTCTCTATTCTTTAAATCTGTAAAACTCAAATGACACCAACAGTCCAGTACTGCCGGTAAGATGGCGCAATATACTTGGGAATTAGCTCACTGACACCCGGAGACCTAATGACCATCAGAAGAGTGTCCTGGAACACACCCCGATAGCTGATGGATGATCCTATGTTCCAGGGAGGCGGCCAAGATGGATCACCTCCAGATCCTGGACAGCCTCCTCAAGAAGGACTATGACAGGAGGGCCACACCCACCAACCACCTCAGTGAGTACCATCTTTCTGTATATCTTCATCTTTATGAAACATCTCTGTGAAGAATTTCGCAGAGTCCATTAGTAGAAATATAATTATAACTTATGTTAATGACGTTCATCATAATAATTGAAGGTCATCATTAGCATTTTTATTTCTATGTACATAATATATTATTGTAGCTAACGCATTTTTCTTTTTGTCTATTTACAAGTCCGTGGTACAGACCCCTTTTTGTCAAATTATTAACATCCGCCTCAAACTTCGTAAATAACTTCATCTCATAATAACCTATAACTATTCTATTTAAGAAAATTCTCAGAATTGGGGTGTTTTCAATCTGGAATTATGCAAACTTTGTCTATTTAATTTTTAAATTGTCTATTTGTCTATAATATGGCCTTGAAAAAATATACACCCCAACATGTCAAAATAACGAGGTTATTTAGGCCAAGCTACCCAATATTTTTTCTTGATTTTGTGATCAAATTATCTTACGAGCCAAGTGGTAAGCAAATGGATATTTACAAATTTTCAGTGCCTAATTAAATAGACAAACTTTTCTTAAATAAAATAATTGTAGGTTACGATGAGATGAAACTATTTAGGGAGTTTCAGGAGAATGTTAATATTGTAATTTGATAAAAAGAGGTCTGTACCACGGACTATTTCTTGGGCAAATTACAATTGTTAATTTATATAAATAAACTGAAACATGTGTACAAATTACGGTAGGTTGTATCGTGGCCAATAATGACTCGATTTCGATAATTTTTTTTTTTTTAGAGTGTTTAGTAACCTTATGAACAATCATAGGTATAATCCACCATATATTTTTGACTTACATGCTAATAAAGTTTCTTTTCCTTAAAATTAAAAAAATTAGAAGTTATCACCTGTAATTTTGGGAGAATGTGTCTATTATCTTTGGATTTGAAGAAAAAATTAATGAGGGTATACGGATATGATGTACAGACAAAAAAAAAACTATATTGGGTGCTTTATTCCAAAATAAAATATCAGCAGGCGAGGTTAATAAGATAAAATATAAAATTTTCTTTTTTCTAAATCCACAAAGTAATAAAATTTACAATATAAGATAATTATAGTTACAAAATAATCAGTTATAAATTAATTAGGTCATCGATATCTTTTAAGTTAAATTATCTATTCAAAGAACAACGAGTTTGATAACCGCATCCCCGCAGCCATTGTTATAACGGCCTCTTTAAATTATTCATTAGCTGATGATGAAAAAACATAGATTTAGTCGATCAACGCAATAGGATTACCCTTAATAGGATTTCCACTCTCAAAATAAGGGCTTTTCGTAATTGTTTTCTTAAGGAACGCAGATCGAAATTCAATTTCATGGCGAAAATAAAGGGCTATTAGAAAATTTAATTAATATTATAAATATCTATAATAAAAAAAGATTCGATCAACGCCTTTCACAAGTGAAAGAGTTTTAATCATATAATATATAATTAAATTCATGATATGGTTGAATTACTTTTCTCTATGATATTTATATATTATAAATAAATGTGAAATAATACAACCTGATCATAAAGTAATTAAATATTTTTTATATTTATTTTTATTTTATTTTATTATTTTATTTATTTTATTTTATTATTTCATAAATATTTTAAAAAAAATATACCAATAAATTATGCCTTAATTTATTTGTTTTGTGATCTCAGTCCCACTCATTCCGATCATTGTAGACATTCCGGTCATTCAAATGACTTTTCTTTTTTTTTTTAGTAATCTTTATAAATCATCTGATATCAAAATTATAATTTTTTTCAACAGAAAAATTAAAAGTTTCCTCAGATAATCTCAGTTACCTTGGACTAATATTCGACAAAAGGATAACCAACATCAGACATTACACAAGTGAATGAAAATACTGTATTCGCTTTTTTCTAAATTGCAATTTGAATGTTCGATAAAAATTAAATTATCGATACACTTACATACTCAAATCCATCTGGTTATACGACTCTCACTTACGAAAACTACATTCCTTTCAATCCAAAACTTTACCACTAATAACAGCAGCTCCGTAGTACGTAAACAACGAAACTTTACATAACCACTTACGACAACCAACTATCAAGCAACACATACGTACTTTTCACTCTCGACTTCATCTCAATCTCAAACTCTATGGACTCAACAACAGACTTATAATCGAAATGGCCACGACTGCCATACTCATCAGGTGGCGACGAAAAGAGGATCGTGATTAAAATCAAGAATTTGAGTTATTAGAATTATAACATCCTAGTGGTGCGGCTGAGAGAGAAGCGCTGGGATCTCTTGGAGCCTTGCCTTGTCCTCCACATGAAGAGGCCCGACTCGGAGCTCCCTCGGCTGACTGTAAATATTGTAAATAAGTTTGGATGTGTATTATTTATATATTTTTTAAAATTTATTTATTTAATGTTGTATCATGTTTGATTTATTCTGTTACTCCAAGTTTTATTTTATTTTATTTTGTTATAATCTTGTTTTTCTTTTATTGTATATATGGTATGATTGTGTTTCATTCATCCAAAATACTCAATGCCCTTAATTGAGGCAAAATGTATTTTGTTTCTCAATAAAAATATTAATAATAATAAGAATTATAATATTGTCCATAGGCGACTTTAGTTGTTAAAGTAGTTAGCGCCATTTCTTCATTAGCTGACAAAGATTTGCGTCGAACATAACCGAAAAAGTTTGAAGATAGTAAATTCTTAGATGAGGATGACGAACAAATTAAACTCAAGGAATGAGGAACCTATGAGAAGCTTTCTCCATACGTTTGAAAGCCATGAGAAAGATCCATAAGATGGGATAATGAGTTCCACATGATCAGAATGAAAGGCAGCAAGAAAGCTAAAGAAAAAACACTTCCGAAATGCTGTTCGTCTAGTACAAAAGAAAGTCATTTCTCATCAAACGTGACATATGATAAAAAAGGGATCTATTTGGTGAATCCCAAGAGCTAGAGGTGCCAAGTAGAGGTTTCATGGCGCGCCATCAAAATTTTTAGGGGAACACGTTTTGACAGGATTTTAATTTTTTTAAGGCCATATATTTCGACGGAGTTGTGAATTTTCGGAGTGAAAAGTTTCAAAATGGACCAGAGCACAGTAAGTATAATTGCATATGTTTTACAATTTTTCTAGTTCTACTTTCGCTTGCACTGTTTTAAAAATGAGGATAGCAATAAAATCGATTTTAAGGCCAAGTCCTTATGGAATGAAGACAATGCTCGCTGCTTGGTCGAATTTTAAGCGTGTGGTCTCTTATGAGCCCCTAAAACGTGGCGAAACCGTTTTTAATGATCAAATTGGATTAATTATTGTATATAAAAACAACCAGAATATCAAAAATGACAATATAAAGTGATTTTTCTTCATGATATTGCACCATCACACACAGCAGCAAAACCAGTGAAGGAAACGACTGAGTTCTTTTTTGCGTTCAGTTGAGAAGTACCTTATTCACTAGATTTGTCTCCTTGAGAGTACTATTAATTGCAAAGATGGGAATACTCATAATCAACGATTACGATTACAATAATTTTGATTAGATGATTACACGATTAATCAGGTAATCGTGGCTTACTTTTACTATATTTATAGTAATATTCCGCTATAAGTATAAAATTGGCATGATCATTAAGGTTTATTTTCAGTTGTAATCGTTGAATCATTGATTCCAATTTTACTCATCTCTGATTCATTTGCATAGATGGGGTTCGACTTGCTCAGCAACGATTCATTTCTGATGAAATTGTACGAAAATGGTTTGATGACTGCTTTGCCACAAAAGAGCCACAGTAAAAATGAAAAATATTTTGAATAAAATATTTTTCTAACATTTGTATGCAATAATTTATTATAAAAATTCCGATTTCATTCTACTTTCTATGTTTATGCCGGAAATAAACCGGTATCAACGATAAGCTCCCTTTTTTGCTGTTTCTGATGTCGTAGTCAATCTGTTAAGATATAAAAAAAGCCCGAAGTGGTCGTAACATCGAATAAAAGATCTGAGATATAGGTGTGGGGGGGGGGGGAGAGGATGAAAGATGGAAGAAAGGATGGGAACACAAAGATAATCAGAGCGGTGATGGGCCTCATGAAAAAATCCCGGAGGGGCTGAGAAGGATTTGTAAAGCAATAAGGGCCAGGAGGTAAAGAGCCATACGTCTTGTTCCTCTTCCGCCCCACCTGCTTCCGCATCCAGCTCTCAGATTTGTATGCAAATGGTATTCGATCTGGGCGCTGATTGTGCCAGGATCATCCACAATTACCTAGGCAGTTTGGTTGATAGTCTGTTTCGATTTATATTACATCCAGCTCTCCATTATCTTTGAAATTGTTGGACGAGATTATGACTGATGACCGAAAATAATGTTATTGTGGCCAACAGTAAAGATTTAATTATACTAGGTGGCCCGTGCGAATAGTTCGCATACAATATTGGTCCGTGAACAATTGATAAAATAGTGCTGAATTATGTTAATGGAATCTATTATTATGTGAAGGAATGAATTTTCCGTTTCTTGGTTGAATTGAAATAGTTAATTCATAATAATAAACCAAAGGTTTTGTACATATAATTATAACTTCAAAGTTTTTTCCTTAAACTTCTTCTTATGTTGCTATGATCTGTGGTACAAGCAAGGAGATTATCCACACTTAGACCCATATTTCTGTCTTGTCATAATGAAGCTTATTTTTATCCGATGTTATATTGTAAGTATTAAATAGTACTGGGTTTACTGTATTCGTTGTAGTGTACTAATCTGAGGTGGGGAATGGTGCAGTAGAATTTATGTCTTTGTAGTCGATGAGTTTAAATATTCGTCATGCATTTTCCTAGCAATCCAACTAGGTTTTCAAATAGTAGGTGTTTTTAAAAAAAAAATTAAATTAAATTATATATTTCTTATTAGTTAATTTCTAACTCATAAAGCTTTTTTTAAAAAAAAGAAATCTTGTAGACCTCTTTTTTAACTTAGAAGGTTGTCCCATAAATTCCTTCCTTTGTTTTTTAAGTTTGATTTACTGTGTTTTATTTGAACTATTCTGCTCTATTACCTTCTTTCATCTCTTAGGAAGCCTCATTATTCCCTATTCGCAATGTTGAGACTTGCAAAATATTCATCGAAGTGCGTTTTAATTTCCTTCTCGGTTTTGTGACATTTATCACAGAGATAATTTATTAATGAAAGAAATTACGGGGTAAGGTCTGTGGAGTATAGAGGGTGAGGTAGAAAGTTCCAATCAAATTGTAAGAGTTTCTGTCTAATGGCCAATCCTGCATGTTTTGTATATTGGAGTAATGAGGCTTCTTGATAGTTGGAAGAAGGTAAAAGAAGCGAACTGAAAATGATGAAAAGCATAACGGAATGTGAAGCTATTTATACCTAAGAATCTTTCATTATCTTACGATTTGAAGAGAAATTGCTTGAGATTTGGCTACAATATTACCACCGCGCGTTGCCCAGCATCAAGATCAAAGATAGTTAGATGAAAACGGTTCAAAGATAATTAGATAAAAACGGATCAAAGATAATTAGATGAAATAAATACAAGTTCGCTTGTCGGTGCACGGTGGGGCTTTTAACGATGCAATTAATCCCTCACCCTCATCCTCTGGTCCGGTAAAGTCCCGTGCAGCCTAAAAGGCGAGGAAGGGGAAGACAAAACAAAAGTGGAAAACAAAATGGTGTTCTTGAGTTTTTAGTATCTTGTTAAATATAAAAAAATTGCCGAATTCTAGATTGAAAACATCCCAATTATGAGAATTTTCATAAATTAAAAAAGTTGTAGGTCACCATGGCTACACCATGGCACCACGTGGTGATACAGCTTGTCAAAAGTAAAGCTTAAGTTTCTCTGTTATAGAAAACTAAAATTTCTCTAAAATATTACCGATAAAATATTAAATAAAATAGGAGTGATTTCATAAATATTATGATAAAATAATCTAATTGTAATTTTCTGAGGTTGATCCAGCCATGGACTGACTGATGACACCATTAAAGCAGATAAAAAAAAAAGTTGATATACTAATACCGAAAAGGTTCATGATGATTAGATAAAAAATATGGAATTAGCTTGTATCACAAACTTAAAAACCAGCACAGCCGTTCGCTTAAAAATCCGTTGCATTTATAGGTCATCACCCAAACTTATAACCTTCGTGTCGTAGTCGGATAATAAATACTATAACTCTGGCTTACCGTAACATTGTAACTAATGGGCTTTTTATTAACAAAATAACTTCACTACAATAAAAAACTGAAGGGTTTTTATTTTTTAGACTTGGAAAAGGAAAATTATTTCTCTCTCTCTCCTTTTTTTCTCTCTGACCCTCTCAAGGTTTGTAAGCCCCAGGCCATCGATACCATTCATCCCCTGTATAAGCGAGTACCTTCGCTTTCCCGACAGAACCTAACTCTTTTCTCCGTCATATGAATACCTTAGAATAAATCTCACTGTTCTTCTCATCTCTTCCCTGACCGACCATTCCCGAACTTTCGTTTATCTAATAATTAAACTAAAATTTAGAGGGGTATTAAGGTAAAATATATTCGGACCATCTCTTATGGTTTTGTTTTTCTAAGGGTAAATTCTTCACATCTATGAAGTGCTTAAGTTAAAATTCTCTCCTTAATAGTTAAGCAATAAGCTATCCCTGAACTTATACTGTTCTATTATTGTATTCGCTGAAGACCTATGTGTTTAACGCAGAAGATCTTTGGTTGTTTATGGTTCTCTCACTTATTAAGCGTATAGAGTTATATTACTGAAAATATAGAAGCTATGCCTGGATTTATTTGTAATGTATTATAAATATTGCAATGTTTCTTTCTATATTATTCTATATGACCAAGACATCATGGATCTATATAAATAAATAACATGCTATTATTAATAGCCTTTTATTTAAAACCTGAACATGTGATAATTATTTCGTGCCAGTAATAGCTCATAACAGGCTTTTAGCAATAATTAAATGGTAGATTTTAGGACTTTAAAACGGTGTGAAACGCTACCTTGATGCCTATATATCTTTAGAGCAAAATTTATCCCTTCTTAATCCATCTAATTTTGAAACTTTTTATTTTTATGTTCTCTCCTTCCTCTCCTTTTAGACTATAGGAGTTTTTCTTCGGTACAGAGGAGAGAGTGGGTGTTCTAATCTGAGTTATCACAGATTGCTCTGAGCAACTTATATCTTGCACACGCATTAGCCCGCTGGGCCATCCTGCCCCCAAAGAGTTTTGAAACCCCATAAAAGTAATTAATTACTCATTAAAGTTATTACAGTAATTTGAGGATTCAAATTGGGATGCGTGACTTCTCCATGACTTTCCCTTTTATTTGATACCTCATTCATACAGAGCAAGAAAAGAGATCTATTCAACCTTATTATACAGAATGTCTTAAGTTCTTAATGGACAAACTCTGGGGAAGAAGGTTATTCTAGACAAAATTTCCAATAAAAAAGTTCATTTGAGCCCATTCTAAACCAAGCAGTTTAGACCAATTTTGTGTTTTTCTTAAGATAGTCATGGTTTGTATTGAATAAGAAAGTATTTTTCAAAAATTGTTAAAGAAAAATAAATTCCAAGTACACCATCGTAAAGTAGACACATTTTTTTTGTAGGAAAAAGTGATTAAATTTAATAAGGTCAATGATAAAAGTGATTTTCAGGAGGTCTAATTCTTTATTAAATTTTATTATTTTTTCCTACAAAAAAATGTGTCCAGTTTACGATGGTGTACTTGGAATTTATTTTTCTTTAACAATTTTTGAAAAAATACTTTCTTATTCAGTACAAACCATGACTACCTTAAGAAAAACACAAAATTGGTCGTTAACTCCTTTTTGGTTTGGAATCGTTTCATGCATCAAATGAACTTGTTTGTTGGAAATTTTGTCTAGAATCTTCTCCCAGATTTTGTAAATTTTCTCCATTAAAATGTAAAAAAATGTTAAAAAGAATTTCATTTTTTTTGAAAAAATTCTTTCTTATTCAATCAAAACATGCCGTGACTACTTTAAGAAAAACACAAAATTAGTCTTAACTCCTTTTCCCATCGGAATCGGCCCATGCGACAAATGAACGTTTTTTTTATTTTAATTTTATCTGGAATTAATCCCTTGTGTTCGACCATTATTAAGAAATGAGACACCCTGTATATAGTGTAAATAAAAAACAAATAAGTTAAAAAAAATTAAGATGGCGAATAACTATTAAAATATCTATTGCTGTAGGAATGGCCCGTAGGAATCCCTGGCCATTTGTAGGTCCTTACCCAAGCGGAGACAAGGTAGGGCAACCTGTACACATGGGAATGTGCCGCTTGACCTGCCCATTACGGTACATGTGCTCCCAACATGGCTAGACCTCTCTCTATTTATATCTCTAGCTGTCTGATTTAGGGAACAACTGTTCTGCCCTATGCTATTGTAATATCTGCGTTATGTGTTGTCTCTAGGTAGCAGTGGCAATGATATTCCTTATGAAATAGTAGTCTTATGTTTCAATCTATACCCAATCCTTCAATAATGATAATTAAATTTTTATTACTATTCGATAGTAAAAAAAAAATCTGGTCCAATGTATCACACATCTTTCACATATCACCCTACTTTCAATAGTTGTGTGTATATATATGTATATATATATATATATATATATATATATATATATATATATATATATATATATATATATATATATATATAGATAGATATATAGATATACAGAAAAAGTCTTTTTATTAATTAAAATTACATAATATAACTTACAAAATAATTTTTGGATTTATTTTTTTATTTCTGTATGACATTTACAACTGTATTACATAAATACATCTAGTAAATTTGGACATAATAGATATAATGACATGAATACACTTGCTGATTAACTACCCAATGGTAGCACTCTAATGATATAACTACATTAGGAGATCATGGGGCCATCTTCTTTTCAGACGCCTCGGAGGGTTATCAGGAATTGAAGAGGAAGCAAGGTTAGAAACGAGAGGGTCGGAATGATTCTGAAGTTTATTATGGAAGGATAGGTATCTGGATTGGGCCAGATCTGAAACATAAGGAACATTAAGATCTTTATGGATAATTTTATTATTGACAAAGTAAGGAGCATTGAGGATTTTACGAAGGATTTTGGATTGTAAGGATTGGATGCGAGAGGAATTCGATGGTTTAGTGGAGCCCCATAGCTCAACTCCGTAAGTCCAAATAGGTCTTATTATAGTCAAGTATATGAGTCTTTTGTAATTAATGGGAAGTTTAGAGCTTTTGTCTAGTAAGTGCTGAAGTAATCGGAAACGTCGAGCGGTTTCTTGTCGTTTCAGTCTAGTATGAGGATTCCAAGTTAGTCGCTTGTCCAGGTGGAGTCCTAGGTATCTAATTTGCTCAACAGGGATAAGTGGAGTATTGTTAATTTTTAGATTTAAAACTGAAAATCAGACGTGCCTACATGGTCTGTTGACCGTCAGAGGAGTCTTTGTTTTATAACAAAATTATATTTCAATCGATCTATATACAACTTATTAATAAGAAAATAGGAACAATTATATTTACAATGTAAAAGTTATATAAATATTTTAATTACAAAAAGAGTGGTACCAAAATTCTCCAATTTATTAATTGTTAAATTCTTTGGTGAGCATGGTACTATAGGAGAAAGCAGACTTGCAGTAATTTACCAATGCTATCCAATTGTTTCAATTTATTAAATCTATTACTTGATCCCGATATAAATTTCTAGATTTTAACCATTTAATTCTAAATTCAGAAAGTATTGGACAAGCAGCCAGGAAGTGATAGACATCTTCTTATACATATATAAGTCTACATTAATTTCTTTTAGGTTAATTTAATTATAGGAGTGAAAAATATTTTGTATATACAGTCTCGACGTTTTGACCCACAAGAAACATGTGAGACATATCTAAGGCTGAAAATTATGTAAATAAAACAAGATAAAACGATGTAAACTAGTCATGAGATAGTGATAATATAAAAATAATAGTATTTAGTGAAAACAAAAATATATAAATACTATGGGGATACCCAATAGGGATATAAGATACCCATGGGAGCCAACTTGGACGGGACCAACCCCTATTTTATAAATTATACACCTGTTCATTTAAATGTACTACTTGTTGCTCAAATTGTATAACTGTAATTTACATATGGGGCGAGGTGGCCGAATGGGCTAAAGCGTGTGCACTGCACCGCGAGTTGCCTGGCAACCGGATAACAGATTTGAGAGGATTTAAAAAGTATGAGTTCGCATCCCGGTGCCGGATGGGATTTTAAATTCCCGCCCTCACCCTCCGCCCCAGGAAAATACCGTATAGCCTAAAAAGGCGAGGTAGGGAAGAACAAAAAAAAAAAACCTGTGTTTACATGTATTCGAATGTCATTAGTGTGCCCAAATGCGAGACCGAGACGAGTCTTGGTCTTGAGCAAGAGGTTCGCAACAGTCTTGCAGTTACTTATTAGGTTATTATTATAGAGATATTACTGGATTTTTTTTAGTTAAGAGAAAGTGAACTAAGCCCGAATGAATTAGATGAGTTAAATGCAAAAGTATATTAACATATAGTAACTAAGATTGTCGAGTATTAGTAACTATTTTGTCTTAATTTTTATTTAAAAAATCGATTTTTTTACCAGTCCTGGTCTTGGTCTTGCAAAGTGTACGACCAAAACCGATTTTGGGCAACACTAAATGCCATCTATGGACCTCAGTACGGAGTTCAAAACTAGCCGATTGTTAGCTATATTAATATTTTGACTGTCGAATATGAGTAGCCATGGTGGCCATAGGCTGTAGCCATATTGCTACAACTTTAAAGATTTTTTCGTTGTCGAGTTTCTTTTTCGGCATGCCCTTATACTTCGTATTTATCTATGATGTGTGGTACAAGCAGAAAATTATCCACACATATTTCTATCTTATCAAAATGAAGCTTATTTTTATCCACTGTTATAATTAATAGTTATCAACAAGTTCGTTGCTAGATCAACCTCAGAAAGTTACAGTCTCTGTTACTTCCACCACCTTTACGAATGACTCACCTAGCTTTCATTACTTGTGTTATTTTAGAAAAATTGAAGTTTTCTAGGACAACGGAAGATAAGCTGTACCTTTGACAAGCTAGTTTGTCCACGTGCCGTAATATTTTAGCCAACGCTCCAGCAATTTCTCTGCAAATCAGAAGGAAATGAAAGACTGTTAGGTATAAAGTGCCTCATATTTACTCCCTTATGCTTCTCATTCTAAGGCGGTTTATGAATTCCTGCAGAAGTATATCATACGTTCTTTAGAAGCGAAATGTGTTTCATCAGTCATGTTAGTTTGTATTTTTTTTTTTACAACAAAAGTCTATTCGTTTGTAGGTGAAGTTATGAATAGTTTTTAAATTTTAAATTTATTACGATTTATAAACCCAAATATTCATGTGTATTGATGAAACTTTAGTTTTTTTTATATAGTAATATATATATATATATATATATATATATATATATATATATATATATATATATATATATATATATGAAGGTAAAATATTTTCAGGTAAAATGGTTTTTAAGTAACAAACTTACAAATATCTTTGATCCTGATATTTAACTATGATTTTTTTTTTATCTTGTTATTAAAAATAGTACAATCTGTCTCAAAGGGCATTTATATTATTGTTCAGAGATTATATTCACACTCTGTGTACAATAAAAAAATAAATTATATAGAAAAATAATATATATACAATAAATAAGTATAAAATAACCCAAAAATAAATAAATAAAAAAGAACACCTACTTACGTATATACGCTATTTACAATCAGACGAGAGAATTCCGAACCAGACTTGTCCCTCCAAATGTGGAGGGAAAAGCTTTATGAAAATAATTGAAGCAATCAGCATTTATTTTTATTTTTATTGTAAACGTGAATTGTCGGACTAGGAACATTATTTTTTTCACGTATAAATACGGATTAATTTCTGTGACAAAAATTTTGGGAGAAAAACACAGTTCATGGCTACTTTAAACGAAAAAAAAAAATGAAAACTCGTTATTTTCAATTTGTTCTTTTATTATAAATAAAAAAAAATTTAGGCAACAAATTTTTATTATAATACATCTCACAACATGTAAATAACAAGAAATAAAAGCTTTGCGACCATTAGTTTTGGCCATTTTTGCTGAAAACAGGGGTACTTTTAGGTGATAGGATAAAAAATCAAATAATTGTTTTACACAACTTGAAGTGATTCTCAACTACCTAATATGGACTTAAAGCTTATTAAACTAGAAAGTTTTTATAAAATCCGGGTTTCTGTAGTATAGTTGGATAATTTAAAAAAAAGAAAAGAAATAAATCGCAAACAATTTATGATGTTTTTAAAAACAGAACTTAGCTTAGCCGTTCAAAAGACCTCTTTAAATGGTTTTAACAATGACTAATTCTATTTTAATTAAAAGAAAATTTTATCTAGTTTACAGTGAAATAATTGTTAATTACTTAAATTAAATATTTGTTAAGTTATCGCTTTCTAATCAACAAAATTCATGATTTACTCAAGTAACACAAAAGTAGGATTTCCTACCTTTCTGCTAAAAATTGGCCAAGTGTATTATGAACTTTTTGTAGCTCTTATAGTCTGATATCACTCCTTTAAAAATTTCCTATAATTATGGGCCACACTGTAGAGTAAAGAATGATATTACAATCAATCGTGACTAATTTAGAATCGAATGTTTTCAATAAAAATACACGTTTCAATGACTTAGGAAAAAGTTGTTTGAAACTAAAATTGAGATAGGTAAATGTTTGAGACGTTACAGCATCTTTTTTGTTATGATCGAATTACCGAGAGTATCAATTTAAATACACCCATTTAAGATATTTGAGTATCCCATATTTTGATTGATCACTCCAACCGTTATTCTCTTCAATTATTCACTAAACCATCAATCCACAATTATTTTATGTGTACATTTGCGAGAGAGACGGGAAGAATTGAATGATTTTAAAAATATTTCAAGTAGTAGTTTACGGGTGGAAAAATCATATATTTATAACTTTTAATTTTAATTTATAATTTATTTTTAATTTGAACAGTTCTATTTCTGTTGTTTTATAAAAATTTTTTTTAACATATGGGTGTATAAATATAAATTTTATTATTTGCCATAATAAAACAATATTTTATTTATTTTTATTATTATTGTATACAAGTATGCCTGTATTTAAGTTGTTATTTTCATTAGTTTAAGTTCCTTTTTGTTTATAATTCTTTATTTTTAATATTATTATTTTGCTGACGTTATATTTAATTTATTTTTATTTATTGTACGT